GGATAGCAAAATATTTAACCTTCGAATTTCTATTGTACGACCTTGCATCTTTTCCGATTTGTTGGGGTGGACGACTTATTGGATTTCTCGAGTCTCACAATTTTTCTAATGATTTTGTCTCTCTTCTTTTGCTCTAGGTTTCTGCCGATTTCTTGCTCAAGACTTGGAGGACCTCACGTAAAATATATTATCAAATAAGAGGCTAGTAACTTGTGTATTTATAGGCTACAATAGAGACCATAAGGAGATGCTAAATATGGACTCCCAACTATGGGTCTAACTGTAGGTCAAGTCCACTCCCATCATGATTCAATAATATTACATATCACTACAATAATATTACTGAACTTCTCATTTTGCGTATGAAATATAAATAATTCATTTATAGCTGATTGCTCGAATTACTTTTCTATGTTTAAGATTTAACGTTTGTTGATTAATTTAATTATTGACAATTTAGTTAATCAACATCTTCATCCGAAACTAGTACCACTCAGTTCATTATTATTATATCATAAACAAATTATGCATGTCGGGCTTAACAATAAACCTTCCTCATCTCGTTTCAAGTACGTCATCAATCCAACAAGGACATGGTTGGCGTAAATAATATATGCAGAACATCATGTACTCGACCCTTACTTACAATAATATTAAGTATGTCGGCCTATCGGAATAAGTTTCCCCTTTGGTAAATCAAATAAGCAGGTTTCGATTATATATGATTGTTTATAATATCTTACGGGTTATGAGAACTCATCAATTATTGATCTCTTGATATTTATTTGGTCAGTATAAAATAATCTATCCTTTGTAGGTCCATCCAATACATCCGAGATGTACTAGTGTAATTCATCAGTCAAAGATCAACTCATTCAAAATCACAGTAAAATCTTTCACGACAGTTAGTTCAATTCCGTTTGGGTTGAAAATAATCAGTTTATATTTTACAAGATAATATGATATTTCGAACTGTCGAACCATATTATCTACAATGTAAAATAAATAAACTATGTTCGTATAAATAAATAAACTGCAAATATATACTTAATTAAAACATGATTTTTATTCAAAATGTTATTGTCAGAAACTGAAAGTCAAACTTTTGCAGTATAACATAACATAATTATGAGAATATGCTTAAATTTAAGAATCATATCACCTTGATTTGATAACAAATCAACCTAAAATTATACTTTAATGCCTATACAAAAAAAAAAGACACACCACTTATTTTGTATTTAAAATTTCTAAATACACTTCTATCCATACCAAATAAAATTCATACTATTTAAATTAAGACATTTCATAAAAAAATAAAATCGTCCATTCTATACCATAAAATCGAACATTTATTAATGTCAACATATTTCCTACAAAAAATACAAATGACCATCAGATACCTAAAATAAAATCGCATATTTTATACCGAAATCAAATTTATTCATTTTTCCAACTTTATACCATAATTTGAATATATAAACACAAATTCACCTTAGACAACAATAATTGTTGTATTGGTGACTTCTATACATAATTTAAATTCATCATTGGAAATGAAACAAACGGTCATTATCTCCACTCATTGCTACATACACCTAATAAAAATTGCAAAATACTCTCCACATTTAATCATCTATTGAATATATAAATAAAATCATAAATTACTTTCACCTATCTCTTTCCCTCGTTTACTATAATTCACCTATTTTTCACCAAGAGAAGAAGCAACCACCGTTGAAATCTGCATCCCAAGAGCCATTATTGATCAAATGTGAACAATATTTTCCACACATACATTCAAATTTAAACAACATATATATATATATATATATATATTTTTTTTTTTTACTTTTTTTAACCACGAGAGAGAATATCCTCTGACCCATAAAGATTTCCCATTTCTCTATAAAACAATTTTACTATTTACTCCCTCACACAATGATTCCTCACATTATTGTGAAACTTTGGGTGGCATCAGCCTGCACTCATCACCATAGGTAAAAGGGTCAAACAAAATTTTTCTTTGCAGATCAAGAAAAAATGGGATTTTTACTGTTCCCCTTTCTGAGGTTAAAATTATTAACAGAAAAGGAGAATTCATAAAAAGGGTAAAAAAAAAAATAAAAAAATTAAAGGCCCTTTCACTTTTATTATCATTTTTAAATTTTAAATGGTGGTTTCTTGATTTGTGCTGGGATTTATTATTTTTCACCCAAGGGTAAAAAAGTTGCAATTTTGGTGTCCAAACTCCAAACTAAAGAATGAAGTGGAATTTTTTTTGACTGTCCTCTATTTGTTGTCATACGAAAAATAACCGTGTCAGGCCAACATATTTGTGTTGAAAATGAAGAGAGAGTGGAAATAGCAAAATTTGGCCATTTGCCAATCTTGTTTTGAAATCTGCCCAGCTTTATACCCATCGTTGCATGGCTACGCGCCGATAGAGCGACTGCGGGCACGCTCTTTATTATTATTATGCATGGGGGAAAAAAAGGTTGGATGTGTTGTGCAATTTAAATTTTTATTTTAACTTGAATTGTAAATGTTGTCCTTTGATTAATAAAATTAATTAATGTGTATATGGACTCGAGTTTGACTATAAATATGACCAAATTCAAGACATAGTCCCTAGATATTCTATTAACATAAATCAAATATATATCTATGTGTGCCTTTTATTTAAAGTTGGATATTTCCAAAATGAAAGGAAAATCAAGAGACACATAGATACAATTATTGTTAATTTCTTTCTCAATCTATGTAAAAATATGTTGATTGACTAGCTGCCCTGTCCATTGAGCTTCTTTTGAAGTTTATTAATTTATGATTCTTAGTACCAAATATTTAAAATTAATTATTGATCTTCTTTTGTAGTTTTTATTTTTGTTTTATGGTACAAGAAAAAGGAAGCCAAACTTAAATACGACGATACCAACACGTTTTTGGGTACGACACTCCTATCACATCATGAGCAAGTCAAACCCTCGCACCTGAGGGAGGGACATCCAAACGCTGAACTCCGCCAGACCCCTGCGCCGCAAGGGAGGCCCAAAAATCGGCAACAAAAGCGAGAACGAGAAATAGGCGATGCACCGTCCTTGCTCCGTCACGACCCTCTTTCGTCTCAAAGACTGATTGGATTGCTTGACGAATAAATCCTGTTCTTTCAGGTGCACTCGCTTCCCGATAACCATGCTGCAAAACCACCTGCCATGGTCGACATAAGAGCTCCCGTATCCCTCATAGAATCCCTTTGTAGATACCAATCCATCATCTCCACGGACCATCGTTCGTGTGTCAAATATATCAAATTAATTATTTATCGTGTATGCTCCAATATCATGACCAAAATCCAACATTGCATACCTTGCCTAAAAAACCCTAGAATTATTGATGTTAAATACTATGATCGCTATACAATAATAATTTGACGAAAAACAAATTAATTACCTCTTCCATCAAATTATCCAATCATGTTGTTGTGGAATTGTTAGGTGATGCTTGTTTATAAATCCAATCCAAAAAAATCCAATAATTTTTAACTCAACCACTTTTTTAACTCAACCCACTATCATCAATATAATTAAATAATATCAATCAATCAACCCACTATCATCAATATTATCAATATAATTAAATAATATCAATCATCATTCTTACACACAACATCAATCTTAATTTACTATTCATCTACTCACATAATTTTAACTAACCATCACATCACATCTTCTCTCTCCTACTTTTACATCAATTTAATTTTAATCATTTTATTGTAATAATTATTTTAATATACCCACTAACAATTAACCATACCAATTTTTTCAAATTTAATCAACCCAAACAAAAAACCAATCAAAACAAAAAAAAAAAAAATTATAAACAAGCATACTTTTAGTTCAACTCCATTTTATTCGCTCGGCTAGTTAAGACTCGTTAAGTTTGATAAATTAGATTTTTATAGGTACTTTTTTTTTAATATAATTTAACTAGTTAAATCTTGTTGAGGGACAAAACTCGCAACTCTTCCATCAATTTGATTCCACTTGATAAAGGCTATCAAACTCGGATTTGGCTGGTTAGATCGAGCAAAAAAGAAAATCAAAAAAGAAAATCATTAAATATAGAAGTGGTTTAAATATACTAGTATAAAAGTAGATTGAGGTGGCGCGTGACGTAAACACACTGGTGGAAAATAACCCATATCGGGAAGAGTGGTGGCGCGTGGCCGGCAGGAAAAAATGATACGGTGAAAAAGTGATAAATAATTAGCTGTCAAAAGATGCAACAACTTTGGGAAACGGCAGTACGGCTGACGGCTGCTGCTAATGAAACCATACCATACCAGTACCACACCATCTCTATCTCTATTTCTTTTTTTCACTTTCCGAGTTTCTCTTTCACAGTCACTGTTTAACGTCTCTTCACCGCCGTTTACAAACCCCAACCCTCCACTTTCTCTCTCTACAAGTCTACGCTATATACCATTACATCCCCTGTTTCTCTCTCTTCATAACGCGACGTTGCAAATGTTGTGTGCCTTTTGTGTGCAGTACTGTGTGTGTGCAGTGCTGTTGGCTAACATTTAACGCACTCGCTTTCTTTTTCTCTACAGCCTCTCTCTTTCTCTCTCTCTCTCTCTCTACACTTCCCTATTTCACTCTCTTCCCTTATTGCTACTGCTTCTCTGCCTTCCAGTTCACGCCAAACGCCTGCCTCTCTGCAACTATTCTGCTACCCCTCTTTCTCTTTCATCTCTCTCTCTCTCTCTCTCTCTCTCTCTCTCTGTACGAACACATATTCCTACAAAAGCACAATATCGGTTCTCACCTCCTCTGTTTTATTGTTTCCTGTCGTGTAATGGCTATTTATGTATGAGGGGCGAGGAATGAGATTGTGGTCCGGAGACTGAAATGTTTCTCACTCCAAGACTGCGTTTTTATGGTGCTGGTTTTCTCTGTCTCTGAGTGTTTGTGCGCATTTTTTAAGCTGGTTGAACAATGGTGGATAAACGAGAGCTGGGCCTGAAGAAGAAGATGAATCTGAAAATGGGCTTTTCCTATTTCGTTGTGGGGTTTTTGTTTCTTTTGCCTCTCGCTTCGCCTCTCAGTGATGAAGGTACGATTTTTTTTTTCTCTCTGTGTGTGTTATGTGTTTAAAGGGCTTCTTCTTCTTCTTCTTCTTCTTCTTCTTCTTCTTTTTTTTATATTTAATATCTGTTTTTTTCTCTTTTTTGTGGCGTTGAATTCTTGAGTTTCTCACTGTGAAGAATGTGGCTTTTGGCGTATAGCTATTTTTATCATTCGATTTATGGTGAATATGCCCGTTTCAGAAAAGTTGAATGTTTGGGGCTTTAAAACTACGGATTTTATATTTGCTTCTCGTGATCCTCGTGAATTTTATGACGGATTCTTTATTCTCTTTTATTGTTCTGGATAAAGTTTGTTTTCTTGTTCGTTGTTTCACACTTTTATTTGGTTTGTTTCAGAGGGTTTTTGAACAGTTCACTGTTATGCATTTTGATATGCAGTGATAATGTGAAAAATCATTGGAACTTTTCGATCGCTTGATAAAGGGAAAGTGCAGAGAGTCACTTTCTCTTCTCTTCCTTTTTTCGGCAATGAGTGATATCTATGACCAGTTTATTATTCGCTTATGGACTCTTTGTGCTTCTATGGCACCGGCGAAGTTTCTTACTTTCTTTTCATTTTTTTTTTTGAATTTTCCAAAACCTACTTTTTTTTTTCTTTGTTTTGTAGTTGATGAACAGTTTACATTTTGTGTCCTATTCAAGAATGTTTTCTTGAAATCATTTTGATATTGTTGGTGTAAATTTATTATTCTCAAACAGTTTTGTTAGTGGTGGTAACAGGGAAAGCATTGATGTCCATTAAAGCTTCGTTTAGCAACGTGGCTAATGAGCTTCTGGACTGGGATGTTGCTCACAATGATGATTTTTGTTCGTGGAGAGGTGTGACTTGTGCCAACATCAGTACCTCTGTTGTCGCCCTGTATGCTCTTCAATTCTTTCCTTTTTGTTTTTCCCTTTAACTGAACAAAATCAGAGTTAACCATTAGTGGTTTGTTTAAGTTTTGTATCTTTACAAGTCCGATTTTTCTTGATCGAATCGTAACAATTTCTTGATGACTTGTGTTTTCAAGGAATCTGTCCAATCTCAATTTGGGTGGAGAAATCTCACCAGCTATTGGAAATTTGAGGAATCTGGAGTCCATGTAAGTGGACTCGTGTTAATGATAATTCTCCATTTTCAGGTTTTACTCATCCTGTTGCCTTATCAGTGTGTTTGTGACTCTTTAATCGGCAGAGACCTTCAAGGAAATAAGCTTACTGGTCAAATCCCGGACGAAATTGGAAACTGTGTCTCACTTTTGTTTCTGTAAGTTCAACGACTTCCATGGTGAAGATTAGGTTTTAGATGTCTAGTGCTTGTGTTTTATTGTATGTTCTTGACGAAGTTACTGTGTCATGTTTCAGTGAATTGTCTGATAATCTGATTGAAGGAGACATCCCCTTCTCGATTTCCAAACTTAAGCAGCTTGAGCTGTTGTAAGCCATATTTGACATATATTTATCTATATTCTTAAAGATGTAGACATTATAATACCCTGATGATGTGGCAATGATAATCTATTAGGGGCTTGAGGAACAACCAGCTAAGTGGTCCAATTCCTTCAACACTGACACAAATTCCAAATCTGAAAACTCTGTATGCTTTATTTTGCATTTCTACGATTTATTTAAGTCAGCTTAATGATGGTAATATTTTGGGATTTTTGTTTAACTCATGGATTGTTTATGGCTCAAGTAATCTTGCTCGGAACCAGCTTACAGGGGAGATACCTAGATTGATATACTGGAATGAAGTACTTCAGTATCTGTGAGTGAAGCAAATTCAATTATTCTAGGACATTGTGTAGTTACCTATAAGCTTTTCGTTTTTTTTTTTCCTAATGAGATTTCGGTTCATTGACAAATTGTTTAATATCATGCAGTAATTTGCGAGGAAACATGTTAACAGGAACATTGTCCCCTGATATGTGCCAACTGACTAGCCTTTGGTACTTGTAAGTGTTTAATTTGGTTCATTTCGTATAATTAGTCATTAATTACTACTATACCGTTGCAAGCTTATTCTGATTTTTCTGCAGTGATGTTAGGGGCAATAACCTAACTGGAACTATACCAGACAACATTGGTAACTGCACAAGCTTTGAAATATTGTAAGTAACTCACATGTGTCTTTTCTTTCGTTTTACTTTTGTTATTGTTATGTCTCTAGTCATCCTCAAGATTCTAACGTTTTTGCATCAGGGATATTTCATACAATCAAATCACTGGAGAGATACCCTACAATATTGGATTTCTTCAAGTAGCTACCTTGTAAGTCTTATGATCTATTTCCTTCTTAGATAAGCGAATTATTGACCAATCCTGCAAGTTTACTTGGTTTATGAAGTTTTTTCAGCTTATTTAAACATTAAGGAAGGTATTTGCTTTCATCCGAACAGGTCTTTACAAGGGAATATGTTAACTGGAATGATTCCTGAAGTGATAGGTCTAATGCAAGCTCTAGCTGTCCTGTAAGCTAATCATATTGTTGTTATGCCTTTTCTTAATTTGGTTTAAAACCAGCATCTCTGACGAGCTCGAAAATTCTATGCATTTTTTTCTTTTTGGTTCAGGGATTTAAGCGAAAATGAATTAGTTGGACCAATTCCACAAATTTTTGGCAACCTCTCGTACACTGGAAAACTGTTAGTGGAGGCATCTAAATTCTTTTAAGTTACGAACACGTCTCTTTTACATGACTGTTTTCTATAAGTTTTGTGATATGCATTATTATGTCAGGTACCTTCATGGCAATAAGCTAACTGGTCCTATACCACCTGAGCTGGGGAACATGACAAAGCTTAGTTACTTGTAAGATATGTCGTCAATAGTGAAATAAGCTACATAATTTTATAAAACATTTGTCGCTAATCTAACTTCATTCTTAAGGCAACTAAATGACAACCAACTGAGTGGAGGTATCCCAGCTGAACTCGGGAATTTGGAACAACTTTTTGAGTTGTAAGTCACTATTCACTGATTTATGCGTATACTTCTTTATATTTCATTATACATTTGATGAATGTGGGGGTCATCATTGCCTTTTAACAGAAATCTGGCTAACAACAATCTTGATGGTCCCATTCCTGAGAACATTAGCTCCTGCACGGCATTGAATCAGTTGTAAGATATATTATAACATGCATACATTTTATCTTCACTTAACAAACATGCATTGTCTTATGTATTTCTGATTTGTGAAAATGTTAATTGTGTGTATATTCCATTTTCAGGAATGTGCATGGTAACCATTTGAATGGGTCCATACCGTCTGGTCTTAAACATCTGCAGAGCCTCACTTATCTGTATATTTTCTTTCTCAACCCGTATTTGTGGCCTTCTGTATTTCTGATGCTATAATTTAAGAGAATCTGTTTTCTTGATCCGCAGGAATCTTTCTTCTAACCAGCTTATGGGTAGCATACCAGTTGAGCTGGGCCACATAATCAATCTTGACACATTGTGAGATTGAGAATCAATTTTCTATAAAGTAAATTAATTCGCGTTTGCTCTTCCTCTCTAACTGCCATTTTCTGGTTAGGGATCTATCAAGTAACAATTTCTCAGGATCTATTCCTGTCTCAGTGGGTGACCTGGAGCATCTTCTTACACTGTAAGATTTTCTCAATATCTTAGTACAATCCTTCTGAATCTCTTTAGCGCTCGTTATAAGCATAAGTTTGTCTCTTTTTTAGGAACTTGAGTCACAATCATCTTACTGGGCCTATTCCTGCTGAATTTGGTAACCTGAGGAGCATACAGACAATGTAAGCCCTTCTAAGATAATTTCTGCATGGAATTTTCTTTCCACAGCATCATTAAAAGTTCCGAATAATCGATATATTGCTCACGATCCAATCGTTTGGTAGGGATGTGTCGTTCAACAAGTTATCTGGCAGCATTCCTGAAGCCTTGGGCCAACTACAGACCCTAGCCACTCTGTATGTTGATCCTTTTTTTAAGCGATTTTCTTGCGCTATCCATGAATATGCTATTGTGAATTGCCTCCTGTTTTTATAACCTTCTCCACTAATGATCATAATTGGGTTGGGATGCAGCACATTGAGTTACAATGATTTGAGTGGGATAATTCCTGAACAGCTAAGTAACTGCTTAAGCCTTGAAAAACTGTAAGTTGCACATCCCGACTCTAACTTAGATCTTTAAATGATATTCATCCTGTTGTTAAACAGCTGATATTTGTTGCAGGAATGTGTCCTATAACAACTTTACTGGGTTGGTTCCTGTTGGTAGAAACTTTTCCCGGTTTTCACCTGACAGGTAGATAATCAGTGGAAAAAGATAACCCAAAACAAAGGGAAAGTTTCTATATGTATTGATGCTTTTTACTTGCTTTCACAGCTTCATTGGAAATACCTATCTTTGTGGACACTGGTTGGGCTCGATATGCAATCCATATCCACCAAAATCGAAAGGTGTGTATTATCTGATACTCTTCTATGCTCTTAGATGCATAGTATTCATTCATTTTCATTGTATCATTAACCCTATCTTTTATCCTGTCTCTAGCTATATTTTCAAGAACAACACTTGTCTGCATCACGTTGGGCTTTGTTGCATTGTTATCGATGATAATTGTCGCCATTTACAAGTCCAACCAGCCGAAACAGTTCATTAAGGGCCCTAACAAGTGTATGATGCCAGGTATAACTTACTAGCAGCTTTTAGCCAATTCATTTATTTTTTAAGTTCACATTTTTTTCTCATGCAATCTCTTTTCCTTGTAAATTTAGGTTCGTCGAAGCTCGTAGTTCTTCACATGGATATGGCTATCCACACGTACGAGGACATAATGCGACTAACCGAGAACCTGAGTGAGAAATACATAATTGGATATGGAGCCTCCAGCACCGTATACAAATGTGTGTTGAAAAATTCCCGACCCATTGCAATTAAGCGACTCTATTCTCAGTACCCTCACGATTCTCGTGAGTTTGAGACCGAACTAGAAACAATCGGCAGCATAAAGCACCGAAACCTTGTGGGCCTGCATGGCTACTCATTTTCCCCAATGGGCAATCTCCTCTTTTATGACTACATGGAGAATGGGTCTCTATGGGACCTCCTTCACGGTCAGTAATTTATCTCATTTTGTTAACTATTTGCAATTCACTTTATTGTTAGTATTGATGTTGTTTTGTTCGCAGCAGGCCCATCGAAAAAGGTGAAACTCGACTGGGAAACGCGTTTGAAAGTGGCGGTGGGAGCTTCACAAGGGCTTGCTTACCTTCATCATGACTGCAATCCTAAAATCATTCACAGGGATGTGAAGTCCTCGAATATTCTGCTCGACGAGAATTTCGAGGCCCACCTTTCGGATTTCGGGATTGCAAAATGCTTGCCCTCTGCAAAAACCCATGCGTCAACGTACGTGCTCGGGACAATCGGGTATATTGACCCAGAGTATGCAAGGACTTCTAGAGTAACCGAAAAATCAGACGTCTATAGCTTTGGCATTGTGCTTCTTGAGCTGTTGACTGGGAAAAAAGCTGTTGACAATGACTCCAACTTGCATCAGCTGGTAAATTTGAATAAAGCTATCTCTTTTTAAAAAAACTAATGAAATTTTATTTTCAAGAATGGATCTTTATACTTGATTTTGTTTTTTTCGTTGTTTCAGGTGCTGTCGAAAGCGGATGATGACACATTGATGGAGACTGTGGACCCGGAGGTTTCGGTCACATGTGTTGACTTGTCCCACGTGAAGAAAGCCTTCCAGCTGGCACTGCTTTGCACGAAACGCCATCCTTCAGAACGGCCCACGATGCACGAGGTCTCTAGAGTGCTCGTTTCTCTCTTGCCGCCACCTCCTAAGAAAGCTAGCCCGACTAGCGCTGCTTCTCCGAGAAGTGTCGATTATGCTCAGTTTGTGATTGGGAAAGGGCAGCCGAACTTCTTCACGCCACAACACGAACAGCAGCAAGTTGGGCAGGATAACAATTCATCCGATGCTCAGTGGTTTGTGAGGTTTGGGGAAGTTATTTCTAACAACACCTTGTGAGGATCTTGTGGACCCTAGTTTTTTTTTGTGTGTTTTTTTTTTTCTTGAAATGGATGGTGTGATTAATGGTGACTAGAAAGGGAGTTATGGTTAAACTTAGAAGATGATTTTGTGACTCGGGTTCAGGTGACTTGGATTGGAAGGTTGATTTTTACAGGTTGGGCTGTTTTAGCTTTTGCTGGGCAAGTAGTGTAGTAACTTAAAAATTGGGTATTTTATAATTTAGGCAGGTAGTCTTGTTTACTAAATGCTGTTGCTACAGATCAACTGTTTTGTTTATTAATGTAGCTACTTTATCTCAATTATGGTGAAATTTCCATGCATTTAGCTTCTATGTATGTCACTTTTGAGATTATTTTGCAGTATATATACTAAGTCTTTCTTTCTTTCC